ACTGAAATCAATATGAATGCCTGAGGATTCAAATCAGTGTTTCAGGAACTAGGCATGGTGGAGCCTGCCTATAATCCCAGCCCTGGGAAGGTTGAGATGGAAGGTTCTCTATGAGTTTGAGACCATCCTGGAGACTTGAAAAGTGAGCTCAAGGCCAGTGTGAACTGCATCGTGAGACCCTTTCTCCCAAAAAAAAAAAATCACTCTTTCACTCTTAGGATCACAAATGAAGATCAAAGATCTTTGTGCTGTTTTACACCAGAATTTTACGAGGGGAAGGCCCCTGACAACTACCTGAAACTTGAGTCTCTCAACAAATGGTCCTTGAGCCTCTCTTGTGAATACCCCCACCAGGCCCTTCATTTAACACTAAAATAATAGCATCAGTGTTTGAGGCTGAGTTATTTCCATTTAGATCTGCATGGTGGAAATGAATTGACTGGTGTTTGTAAGTGTATAGATACTTTATAATGGGAATTTTTATTATCTTTCTAGAGGTGCAGATATGAAATGGCATTCCTCAAACTGTATTCTCAAGTGTTTGAATCTTAGATAATGGAACTTGTCATAATGCTTTATACTCTAATTCTTAACTGCAAATTGCTCAGCTGCACACTACCCATGGCTGCAGAGGAAAGGAAAATTCCCTTTCTATGTGAGGCCTTCATTCACATGAGGCATTTTATTTATATTCCCAACTTAATAAAAATCCCTTGCTGTGCAAATGTTCTCCATATGTGGAGACTGAGGACTGGAGAGTCCAAAGCTAGCTCTTTGTGTTGTTTCCAAATTGTGTACATGTAATATTTTACTTGTTTCTAAAATTAGAGAATGCAGAATTTTGCTACTCTTGATTCTTTTAATCATGGTTAAAAAAAAAAAAAGCTAATGTCAAGAATCTCAGCTTTCATCTTCTTATTTTAACTTTCATCTACTCTTTGGGTCTTCAATTCCCCGTGCAAAATGCTGATATTCTCCATTAAGAACAATTGGAACAGGGCCAGGAAGTTGGGCGAAAGAACAATCTCAAGTCAGAAAAGAGAAAAAGATCACAATAAAGCCAGTTCAGGCACTGACAACTTTTTAAGCAACAACCACAGAAAGAGTCAGGAATACATTAGACGGGAATTAAAATGGGAAAAGCAACTATAGTTAAGGTGTCATTGTCACAAACAAAGGAGAGTAAATCCTGGTGTGCCACTCATTGGCCAGATACACTGGAAGAGACCCTTCGCCTCTGTATTTTCATTTGCTCCCTTGGAAACTGGATGGGAGATTCCTGTCTTCTGAGATGTCAGAAAGCAAGCTGTGTGGTGACCTTTGCACCCCATAAGCAGTGGTGTGCTTTTCTCTTTCCGTTCCCTCTTGGCCGCGTTCCTTCCTGAGTTTGTACAACCACATGGATGGGCTCTGTGTACCCCAAATTGGTCCTTCCTTTTTTTTTTTAACCTTTTCATTATAGAGAATCTCAAACATTTAGAGTGAAAGCTAGCATGATTCATAATATATCTCTGCGTACAATTACAATGTCAACTGTGGTGGACCACCTGGGTAAGTCTCCTTGAAAACAGAGCAGTAGTCTCCATTTTGGCTGAGACTGACCCTATTTCCATGTACCGATAGGTACAGAGCTGGCTAGGACTTTTCCTTATCCCTTCAGTTGGCCTTAAGCAGTGCATATTGGTGTAGCCGAGGTGCTGGTGGTAGTCTTTGAAGATGGCACGCCTGTTTCCTTGACGACCTACACAATGCTGCTCTTTAACATGAGCCAGGTCGAGATAGGATGAAAAGCCAGTGCTCCATGCTGTCGGCTTGGATCCAGCCTCAAGACAGAAGCTATTACTTCCTGGGGCTTGAAATATTACACACCAGAGCTGAAGCACCGGACCCCAAACCAATAGACACTATCTCAACAGTATAATGTAAATTATTTTTTGTTCATGTCCTTCTCTCTGCATATGACAGAGTAAATGCAGGCCTAGCCCAGCTCACAGTACTCACCCACTTCCTGCCATTGTCAGTCATTCATCCTCAAGTCACTCCTCCTTCATGACTGAATAAAATCTGGGTTCAGCCCTGAGTCGAGGCCTTTGTTCCAAATAGCCATCACCATGGCTGGAGTTAGGACCCCCTGGCTCCTCATAACTATAAACATGTGTTAGTGTTTTTATTCTCACCGTGGGTTGCACTGGAAGTGGAAGACTGGAACTAACACGATGAGATTCCAATCATGTTCCATGGGACTACAAATATAAACTTCCTGGACCAAGACAAGGACCAGGAAGGGCTCCCTATAGGCAGCATTTACAAGTCCAGGCCATCTTTCTCAACTATACTCTGATTTGCTCTCTGTTCTTACATTAACTTGAAGCCATTTTGCCTAAGAAGGCTTATTTAGTGTATATCTCTAATAAAAGATAAGTGTTGTTTTATAAAATATAAAAATAAGGGGGCTGGAGCTGATTCAGTAGAATAAGCACTTCCCCGGCAAGCGCAAAGGCCTGGGTTCAATCCCCAGTCCTGCCAAATAAATAAATAAATAAATAAATAAATAAATAAATAAATAAAATAATATATCACACTGCAAATATTTATCACGTATGTCTTAATATCTTTAAATATCTAGTGTGCTTGCATTTCTAATACCTTATACAGTTTTATAGTTTGAGTTAGGATATGTTTTGTCAAGAAATTATAAAATTTGTGTTATATTGTGGTGGGTTTTCCATTTGTTTTTCGCTTTTTGAGACAGGGTCTTGGTATAGTTCAGGCTGGGCTTGAACTCACTATGTAACCCAGGCTGGCCTCCTGCCTGAGTTTCCTGAGTACTGGGATTAGAGGTATGTGCCACTGCCTCTGGCCAAAACTTGTGTCTGAAATTTCTTATTCTCTTCGCTAACACACTCTCTTCTGTCTCTGTATTATACACAGATTAAAGGAGTCCTAAGGTTCAAGTTGATTTTGTCGCTGTTGCTGTTATTGTTACTGCTTATGTCCCGTTAAGTTATATCAACATGGCTACTGCCACAAGGTTGTCACTGATGCTATTTTCCAAACTTGTAAGAAATCTTAGAAAAAAAAAATCTGAGCAAATCAGGGTGGAATCTTTCCTTCATTTAAGTAGCAAGTGCTTATTTCCTGGCAAATCTGGTATATGTTAAAGCACACAGAATATTCAATATTTCTATGTGACGTGGGTCTAGAGTCTAGACCCAGATGACCATGATCTATTTTCCATCTGTGTGCAAGTCTGGCAAGTCAGGGGGCACATAGAAAAACTCCTTGCCAAGCAGCATTACCTGCCAGATGGCAGAAAGTCTAGCCTTTCTGTCTCCTGCCCACTGAATGCCCCTAGTGCCCCACCCCAATGTTATGACCACTGTCAAAGTCCTCTGATATTTCAAAATTCTCCCTAGGATTCATTTTGTCTTCTATAGACAACCACTGGATTAGTTATGGTAACAGCAAGGGGGAAATTGATTTTTTGCTCCATATATGGAGGAATTTGCGGAAAATAAAATACTCTGAATGGGAAGGGACCTCAAAACATCCGTGAATTTAAGCTGTTATAATTTTTTCCAGTTGACCACATTTTTTCCTCCAAATTATGTAGGAAACTATGAACCGGGTATCTAATAAAACAAATAAGTCCATAATAGATTTATGCTATGTATAGGGTTTTGTTTTATTTTGTTTTTGTCTTTTTGAGACAAAGTTTTGCTATGAAGTTCAGGCTGGCCTTGGATGCACTTTGTAGCCTAGACTAGCCTTGAACTCACAGTGATTTACCTGTCTCAGCCTTCCAGGTTCTGGAATTGCAGGTGTGCACCATGATGCTTGGCCTCGTATGTGTAGTTTAAACAGAGATTTTAAAAAAAAAGAAGCTAAGAAACTATACAGATACCAGGGACACTGGGGCAATGGGAAGAAATGATAAACCATTTTTAAATTCTTTTCCAAAACTAGGTATAATTCATAGGTCTCCTAATACAAAGTTTATGGAACAGGTCCATAGTGCTGATGAGTAATTGTTTTTGATCTCTAAGATAGAGAAAATATAGTAGTTAAATTTTTCTTTTTTATAGTTTAACTGTCTTATTGTAGAATGCGCTTCTTTCTCTTTCAACTTATCAAAACTGTTGCAATGTTCACTGTCCTTTGTACTTATGTGTTTCTCATCATTCTGAGATAAAAGCCATTTTTCAGTCTAGAGGGGAAGGTATATTTTCATTATTTCTTAAAATATAAAAGTTATTAATTCATGGATCCTAGCTTGCTCCTGGGTACCTAGTAGATGCTCATTAGATATTGGTTAAATGAATTCACTCATCCAGTATTCTTAATAATTAATACATTTTATTACTCTGTAGAATCATATTTCATGTGTTAATTTTATTCTTACACTATCATAATCATGAGCTATTAAGTGTGGGGCTTCTACCCAGGGTACAAACTAAATTAAGTGATGTTAAATTAACTGACTTCTAAATCATGCTGCTGGTATAACTAGAAGAGTCTAGGTTTTCTGGCTTTATTTTTACTAATTCTATTAAAAGGATTCTTTTTGCCTTAAATTTATGTTTTATTTTCTTTCCTCCTGTTTTGATGACTTCAAAGCATTTGTCCAAAGGAAGAATAGAAAGGGAGAAAAGGAGAGAACTGGAGACAAAAGTAGACAAGGAGGAAGGAATTGTAATAAATGTCCTCTGTATTTATATACTGGTTTTGACCTTCATAAATCCAAACTAGAATGGTTTAAGGCTGTAGTGTCAAACCCTGTTCTGAGGGAGATACAGCTCTGCTGAGGGTAAGCTACCATCTTTAACGCCTGTAGACTGCAAAGCAGATGCAGCATCGACATAGAAGTTGTTCAAAGACTGGGACCTTGTAACTATGGAGACCTTACCTCATAGTGCTCTAAGGGGCCATGTGGGCCAGCTGTCAAAATGACTGTCACAAAGGTCACTTTGCTGGTTACTACACTCCCCATCAGAGATGCCCTTGGAGATTGTCCCCCACCTTCACTGTGTGTCATCTCAGGTCCTCAGCCAACAGAAGCGCTGGCTGGGTCGGTAGTGACGCGTCCACACCAGAACTCTGTTCGTGACATTACTGTGGTAAAGGACACATTAAATCTGGTGAACTGAAAATAGTTGGATTCATAGGTGAGGTCACCTTCCAAACAATTTCTGCCTTGAAATTCAGCACTTTCCATTGCTTACTTGTCATGATCTCTTTTCCCAGGACAGAAAAGCGACCGCTGTTTTAGCCAAGATGAAAGACACGCAAGAGGTCCAGGAAGCTTCAGAGGCTCTGCAGGGTGACATTTACAAGCAGGAAAATAAAACAGAGACACAAGAGCAGTAAGAACGGCACGACTGGGGAGCGTGGGGTCTCTGGTTCTACAGAGATAGTGATGGGGTGCTGACCTTGTTTTTAAAAAAGATCTTATGATCTGATTAGAACTGCAACAAATCCCACAGATTTTCTAAAAATACTGAATTGTCTATATATCTGTTTCCACAGCCACTGCCCCATCCTTAAGTAGTAGGAAAACTCAACCAGACAGAACTTTATCATGTAAGCCCTGGTTGAGATTCCAGAGCTCTCATTCAACATGTGAAAGCCATTTGGCATGTAACTGCTTTAGAGCTACTTGACTTTCACGGGGACAAAAAAGATTATCAGAGTTTTAGTTTGGAAATGTTGAGAAAGGATGTTACATAAAATAACAGCTCTCTATTTACTGCGCATACATATTATTCTGTCAATCAAATATTGGCATTGGTTTTGTAAAAATTGGATTTTGCTATTGAGCATATTTATTTATTTATTTTGTTTGTTTGTTTGTTTTTTAGGGAAGGGTCTACAGGGTGTTCAGGGTCTCACTACTACATCAGACTTGTAGTGATCTGCCCGTTTACAGCGTCCCAAGAGCTGGGATGACAGGCGCCCCCAGTCTCAATCGCCTTCTCTGTGAGCCCTGGGGGCGGGGCTGGCAGGGCAGGCCTGGAGATCAACCACGCCCCCCACCCCTGGACCCCTGGACCTGAGCTATTTGGCCAGGCCAGCATATATCACTAAGCTATTTGGCCTGGCCAGCATATATAAATTTAAAACTATTTGTTTCTTTGGTCCTGGATTTCCTGAAGTTATTTTTCAATCTACATCTGTGTTTTATTTGTTTGTTTGTTTGTATTATTTATTTGCTGCAGTACTGGGGATACAAGTAAGTGCTCTAGCTCTTCATTACACCCCCAGTCGTTTTTAATCTTATAGGATGTAGGATTTACTAAAGTTTCTCAAGTTGGTTTCACACTTATGATTTTCCTGCCTCAGCCTCCTGAGTAGCTGAGATAACAGCCATAGGCTTACTGTGACAGCACATCCAGCTCCAAGACTTTTTTTTTAAGTATTTGATTTTAGAAGTGAGTAATTAGTTTTGTCATAATCTCAAACAGTAACCCTGAAATGCTGGGATTGAGTTTTTATCATTGCTCCTAGCTTAAGTGTTGAAGGAGCTTGGACAATTCCTTGTGCTAAAGAAAAAGATAATATCTCACTGCGAACAAGCCCCTTCCGAAGAGCATGGCTAGCTAGGTTGGTGAGTAGGAGAGTCAGAGAATAGACTGAATCACTTGTGCCTGTTCCTGAGATGTTCAGTATTTCTCAAGATGTGTTCCGACATCAGAAAGCTCTTATTCAACCACAAAAATAAAAACACTCCATGTCACTGGGCCAGATTTCTCGGACTGTAACATTTATGAGGCTCATTTGGGAAACTTTCGTGAAATTAAATTTATTTGGAAATGCTCTTGTTTTGCTGAAGGAAAACAGAATGAGAGCTTACAATAACAGCGTGCTGAAAGGATGAAGCCCAGATGCAAGAACAAGCACTTCAAAGAGAAAAGCGTTTTCTCTGCTTGTTCTAAGTCATGAGAGAGAGAGACTGCCGCACACCATCGTGGCTCAGGCTGGACAGAGATGAAATGAAATATTCCTAACCATAAATGTGTCTCTGTCGCCCTTCCCGCTGTCCTCACAGCACACCCAAGAGTGTGTCTCCTGGGGTTAGAGTTCTACTGACAAAATCCGGGCGCTGCAAGCAAGTTATCGTTTGACTGGAAAGTGCTCCAGCTAAACACCCAGCTTATAAAAGTGCAGCTTTCAAAGCCATTGTCGTTTAATTGTATTCAGAATCTGCGTAAGATGGCTTCCCCTTTGGAAAGAAGCATTAGCAGCATCTCATTTTGAAGAGAAATCTCTCCAGCTGTAAGATTTCTAACGCAAGAACTTCCACATTGAGAACCAAAATGATTGCAAGCAGCTCTTGGTAAACACAGTGAGCGTTACATCAGCAACATGGAGGATAGGGGAGCTGCGGACCCTCATCTGCCTTGGAAACTTTAAACAAAATCAAACCCAACCACAGGCTGGCACAAGTAGATCCTAAGGGCCATGGACGATAGATCCAAACAGAGGTGACCCACTGTGAAATATTGAACTGCTGACTTAAGTGGATAGATATGTAATCCCCAGAAATCAGGAGGGTTGAACCTACCATTTGTTCAGCTTTTCAGAGTGATGAAAGGTTTCAGACCTCTAACACTGTTCACAATTTAAACATTAAACACACACATACACATTCACACACACACAAACTGTTTCGAAGAACTGGGAAAAGGATCGATGTTGTATAAAATGGAATTTTCATGAACGTTGTCATGAGCCATATCATGAGAATATTGTTTAATTTGTAACATAATTGTAGGGAATAATACCTTGTTCAAATAATGAGTTAAGGAATGCTTTTATATTTATGAGAGGAAAATCCTTCACTCTTTGTATAATTCACTATTATAATGACACCTGAAAAGTGCTATTCTTCTGTTTTTCTGTCATTCTGTCCATGTATACACAGACACACACACACACAGACACAGACACACACACACACACACATTATATTTGAAAGAAGATAGTAACTAAAGTCTTTTTTGTATAGAAAAATTATTTAAGCAGCAACAGAAAAATTTAAAAGGTATATTAAGCTGTAGAATGTTCAACAGGAATTATGATCTTTTTACATTAATGGGAAGAGGAAATGTAATATAAGAGAAAATTCGAAGTATAAATGGTTTATAGTCTTGGCTTTGACTAAGAAACTGTATGTAAAAGACTAGAAGGAAATTATAAGATCTCTAGTTGGTGGCAAAATGTGATTTTTTTATTATTTTTATATTTTTTGAAAAAGTACTGAAGGGGGAGTGAGGGAAAGAGATATCTATGTATGTGAGCAGGATGGTTTGGACAACCATACTGTAGATTTCTGCTGATCTGTGGAAAGGAACAGTTAATGCTTAATTATTTTTTGTCTTCATTTTTTTCCTTTTTCTCTCTTCCTAATTTCTTATAACTTTTTTCTTTTTCTAATTTTGCACATGTCTAATTTTGTACGTCTGGTAATCTGAACAACACTTGAAGACAACACTATACAATGCAGCAAATGCTGTAGAACTCATATTATTTCCTTGAGTGAAATTCTATATCATGTCTAATTTATTACTATTTTGTATACTCTTTAAAAATAATAGAAGAAAACCATCTATAATAATAATGTATTGATTTTCAACCTAAAAATTAAAGGTAGTAAAATGATGCTTTATTTGGGTTATTAAATCTGGAGATATGAGATGTTATTGCACTTGGGTTAGGTGCATAATGCCTTTATAAGCGGAACTCTGGGCAGCAGGGGCATCCTATGCTTCTTTTATCCATGACCACGTTGACTTCCTTACTGTGTTTATTATGATTGTGTACACAGGAAAGAAGATAAACTCAGACCTTCCCCAGGGAGACATCAGTCTTCAGTACAGTTTTTCTCAATGAAGAGAGACTCGTACATCACAGCACTGCCACTGTCACAGTCCTTGTCCTCTGGAAGGCTTCTCAGTTACTACCTGTCTAGTCCTCAGATGAGTAAAATCACTGTGTCAACGATGGCACCATTGGCTTCAAAATCCACCGTCGTGAGCTCTTCCCAAACACACAACAGTCTCGGTAAGCAAAATACCTATCAAAATACTTAGACTATTTTTAGAGCTTACGTTTTAATAAATTTGTTTTTATGTCTCACAGTCAGAATTTTCTATTAGTTGTCTGCACACATGCCAATTTCTCAGATGTTATTTACAGAGTAACTATTGTATGGCCATCACTGACTCTAGACCTGAAGTCTTGAATTCAGGTCACATGAAAACGTGTGTTCAAAACTACCAAACCACAATTGATAGGTGTGGATTTTTGTTTTTTATGGACCAACTGCTGGCATGCTGTACAGCTACTCAAGAATTAAAATTTCTAGTGCACAGGATTAACGGACGTACCCCTGAAGGCTGTGAGAGGATTAAGCAACATCATGAATATTGTGAGCTCTTTGGAGACTTATACCCCAGTAAGAAATAGATAAATGGAAAAAAGAAGAAATGTCCTAATAAAATGGCAGAGAGATAGAAGCAATAAAGAGCACTTCAAGGAGAGGAAATGTGGACAGTGCTGTGATTTTTTTTTTCAAAGTTTTATTGATAAACATATAGCAATGAGACAGTTTCAAATCAAATCGAAACTACAGTTTCAACAAATAATACACTGCATATATTCTTCTTAGTGGTTAATTGCTGTACAAGATGCAGACTTGTGATCCTACTTACAAACACCATTAGAAAAAATCATTCTATTCATTAAGAGAATGCAACTATATATCTATCCCAACCACTTTGAATACACACATACAAAATGGACATTCATAGTTATATCCCATTTTTTTTAAGTTTTGTTATTGAATATTATAGGTGTGTAAACTCAGCAAAATATTCTAAAAGAGTCCAGTAGCCCATAATAGCATTGGGTCTTCTGTTTAACTGGCAATATCAGAAATTATTGACCTGAGTCCCCAACAGCTCAACATAACAACATGGCTTTACTTCCTATATCTCGTCTTCATACTTTTCTACTGGATGGTTAAGACCAAGGTAAAGCAGGACCTATGCAACAAGAGTTGTAGCTTTTTGGTCTGAGAAGGTCAGTGAAATGCCCTCAGGATTTATCCTGAGATCCTGTACCTCAGATTGTAGAACCTTTGTCAGTGTCAGCCATGTGGATGAGTCACGGCCAATGCTTGGCCAATGTGCTCTCTGTGAAAGCCTGAGAGAGTGTCTTCTCCCCATATGACTCTCCTTAGTGCTGTGATTTTAAGAAGAAAAGTTCTGGCTGTTTTCACCAAGACCTTCAGCAATACCCAGTTTGGGGTGTCCTTCATCATCAGTCTGTGGTTTGTAGGAAATCTCATTGCCCCTGAAAAGACAGAATCAGCTGTTTTTCTACCTTCAACAATGTTAGGCCCAGAGTCCCCTCCTCCACAACCACAAAATAGGAAACAATCCCCATTCACAGGGTTATTGTAATCCTGTCTAGGTATGATACATATAAAAATGGGTGAGCTTATAATGTAGCATATAATAAGTACCCAATAAAAATTCATTGTGAGGGCTGGGTAGCCGGCTCGGCAGTCTAAGCTTCTGCCTGGCAAGCACAAGGACCCGAGTTTAATTCCCTAGTACTGCATGCCATGCTGGCCCCAGAACCAGGCATGATGGCACATGCCTGTAATCCCAGTGCTGAGGTTGGCTGAGACAACTATGAGTTCACTATGAGTCAGAACTGCCTTAGCAAGACCTTGTGTCAAATAAATAAATAATAAATAAATAAATAAAACTGCAAATCTTAACATACTCATAAACACGTTCTTTTAGAATAGTCTACATTTGAAAGCTGTATTTCAATTAGCAATCAAACGACGAGTTTCAAACTGGTACCACAAACACTCCCATGAGTATCTGATACCTCCACTTCTTATGCCACTTAGGGGATATTTATAGTCCAGCTGCTTCTCTCCCGTATCTAACTTGGTTTCTGGCATTGTCTTAAGCCTTTGATATAGTGTCTTACTGGTTTTATTTAGAACATGCCAACATGTTTTATCACTGGAACATGCCCTTATGGTCATATTCCTCCTGTTTCACTGTGTGACTAAGATACATTTTTCAAAACGTTTCCACTAGCCTTTAGAAATAACCAAAATCCATGTGCTTGAAGATGCGGTTACAGATTTCCCACCCTCCATATACATATATGTGCCTAGATGACATAGATTGGGATATATATACAGACATCCATAGCGTCTGTTTTATATCTGAGTTAACCTGTAAAAGCTCTAAACAGAGCGCAATAAGCAAAACGTAAGGCTTTTCTTTGCAAGGCGAGAGACACATTGAGATGTGACCTTCAGTTTATGCAGATTCTGCTTCGGTACGTCGATGCCTGAGCCCACTGAAGCTTGTTGCATTTGGTGCATCCCCTCTGTTGCTCTAGATGAAGTAAAAACTGAGAGGAAAAATTAATGCTTCTCTTCCTTTAGAACTGCAAGACTTTCACTACCCAGGAGGCGATAATATAAGAGGCCACACATCATCCTTCCCTGAAGGAATTTAAGGATTAAGTAGAAACTTGCTTGACTGGGAATGAACTCATTTAATTCTAAATGTTTTTTTGAGGAATCTTTTAATAATTCTAAGTTGGGGGTGTAACTCGGTGATAGGACGCATACCTCAGCATGCTTAAGGTTCTAGATTCAAGCTCCAGCAACCAACCGACCAACTAACACACACACACACACACACACACACACACACACGATTTTTTTTCCTTTACATCATTCACCGCCATTGTTAAAGATGTAAGAAGCTAAAGCAAAATCTAGATTGTCTTAATGCTTTGAGGATTTTTAGTGGTCAAGTTTTGAGTACCGTTAAACCCTACACATGGGCTACACTCTGAACCGGTATTACCTCCTGCCTTGTGTTCCCTTATGCAAGGTGTCCCTGTCCTTGTTTTACGTTCAGGAAAACTGCCACATGGAAAGTCCAAGTCATTTGGTCTAGTAGGTGGAGAGCTGGGGTGCAGTTGCTCTACTGTCTCCATCCAGGGCCTCTTGCTTTCCTACTTGACCACCACACGCCTTTGCCGTCAAACTCCTCCTCTCTGGGCAGACACAGGACTGCGCTCACCCAGCGTGGTTTCCTGGGCAACATTATGAAGGCTGTTTTGTAATTTAATCTCAATAGTGACAATTTCAAAGTAGCAAACTTTTCAAGGATACTAGAATCTAATTGAATCCTACTTCATCTTTCTCATAAAGTGCATATTTTAGTTCATAAAGTTGAAGTCTTTATTGGGCAAAAGCACTAATAACTAGTACAAAATAATTCATTTGAGGATTTCCTTTATTGGTAATAATTTGAGGAGTAAATAAATGTTATGTACAATAAGAAGAATATACTTATATATAACGCCCAAATTTAGCAGACTCAAATATTTTGCCTACTCACAAACTACTGTTTTAACTTGTGGTTTTGCTAACAATATAATTGATATTGTAGTATAACGAATGATATAATTGATATAACTAATCACTGAGTCATGCTAACAATACAATTAATAGTTTAAGATACATGAGTAGCCACTAGAAATTGATGATGTACTCACTACAGGTACTCACCGATTGTTTCATAGTTTTTCCTTTCAGGCTTCTGACTATAGTCTCACTGAGACAGTGACAGCAAAATATAGAATGAGAAACAGTTCTGTAGAAGCAGGAAATAAAGATGGCTTGGGGTTCCTTGTGTGTTTATTTATTGTCATCTCTTGTGTGCATCCCTGTTTAATCTCCTTGAAAGGAAACAGCTGCTTGCTACTTTCAAAGGACCAGTCCCTTGATCCGGAGTTGCCTGTGGCTGGAGACAGCGAGGATTATTTCCTGTCTTTGTTTGGTCATTCCAAGAAACTTACTTCACACTCAGGCCACGCCAAGGATCCTCACAAACACTTCTCTACCATTCTCGAAGAAGTTGGTAAATCTGTATCCAGGTAACCGTTCTCTATGGATTACTTCATATTGTCTACTGGGATAGGACCACAAAGTTCTGAGAAAATGAGTTCTGATCTGTTGTTAGATCTATTTGATTTTTTAAAAAAAATTATTTGTGCATTTATTTGGTTCAGGGTCTTATTATGCAGCTCAGACTCATAGTGAGCCTCTTGACTCAGCTTTCCCAGTGCTGGGATTACAGGCATGCACCACCACGCCCAGTTTCTGGGCTGACACAGTATGCCTGGTGTCCCCCCCTCCCCCGCTGGCTCAGCATGTGGTACCAGGGATCAAACCTGGGTCCTAGGGCTAGCCAAATAGCTCAGCAGATTCTACAGTGGCTGGGGGTTTGATCCCAGGCGTGCTTTGCCAGCCCCACCCCTGTGGCAGGCTGAGACTGACTGAGACTGAGCGTGGTGGCATGCACCTATAATCCCAGCTCTTTGGGAAGCTGAACATAGGTGGAGCACTATGAGTCTGATCTACATAGTGAGACCCTGTAGACCCTTACTAAAATACGAAAAAAAGAAGAAAGAAAGAAAGAAAGAAAGAAAGAAAGAAAGAAAGAAAGAAAGAAAGAAGCCTGGATCCTTGCACTTGCCATGCAGGCACTTAGACCACTGACCTATCTCCCCGGCTGGATCTACTTGATCTTAAACCCTCAGCATTTCATTAAAATTTAGCTATTTAATGCTCTGAGAAATTAAAGACAAGTGATATAATTTGCTAGAGGAAAAAACAAAAATAAATTAGTTAATTCTTTAAAAATGCCAAAGGAAATAGTGCTCCATAATGTCTACAAATACAGCCAGCTCAATTATTGAAGAACTCTCTTTACTGTTGGCGAATCGTTCAAATGGGCTTAATACATTTTTCTTCTAATAAGTTCTTGTATTCAAAGCAGAAGAAGGCATATAAATTTTTAGTCTTTGGTATTTTATTAGTGCTACATCTATGACAAAAAAAGAATTGATTGGGAAGAAAGCTGATACTAGGATTTTAAAAGAGATGACCACTGTAGTCATTCACTTGACCCTCCTTTATTTATGATATGAACAATAGGTTAAAATGTGAATAGTGAACACACACTGACATAGGTGCTAGAGTGCTAAAAGAAGTTATTTGGTAGAGTTCAGTGTCAGATATGAAGAAAAATAGTTTCTCTTATGCTGTGCTCCTAAAACCACTTACACTCTGTCTCAGTTGACTCTTTTCTCTCCTTGAAGGGATAAAATACCTGACACGCAAAATTAAGGAAGGAAAGGCTTAGTTAGCTCACAGTTAGTGGAGGTTTCAGGCCATACTCAGCTGACTCCAAGGCAGAGTGGCACATGGCAGAGGGCAGCAGTTCATGGTGGAAAGAAATAGCAAAGAGCAAAGGGAGGAGCAGTGTCTGTGGCTGCTAGCAAGCCTCTCTCCCCTCTTTACATTGTATGCAGATTATACGCCCCAAGGCAGATGTAGCATTCATACCCATAATTCCCACGATGGATCACGAATTAATCATGAACTCTAGAAGCCACCCCAATGACTACATGGGCATTGAGGGGACAACTAGACACAAACCATAACACACCCTAATGCCATTTAACTGACAATCAAGAAAACCTACTCGTTTGTTCCACTGTCTCAAAAGACATCCTCAAGGATTCAGTACCTACCATGTTTAAAATTATGAACTATTTGGGACACAATGTTTTAAAAGATTTATATGATATTAAGAACTTACAATAAGATCAGTAAAGACCTAGCACTGAGGCTAAGAGGTAAATAAGAAACCACATTCAGAGAGCTTGTTTTCCACCTGGGATGACCTGGAAGATTTCATGGAGTGACCATTGAAACTAAGCTCTGAAGGGCAGGTGAGTTAGGCATATGCAAATTTAGAGACTGAGAATGTCTAAGGTATGGGGTGTTAGTGGCCAACAGAATCATGGAGAAGAGAGTGCTTTTGATGTCCTGAGCCTGAGACTGAATCACAATGTCTGATGGTAGAATTGGGCATCTGTTACTTGTTTGGTGTTTTAATCTCGTGGTGAATTCAGTGCACAGCCAATGTTGCAAACCATTAGCCTAAAGTAAAAGGAGAGCAAAATGGGTGCAGGAGAAAAGCCAAGAGCAGGTGAAAGAAATCACATGCTAGGTTGAGCAGTGCCTGAGAAGGTGTAGCAGGGTAGCAGAGAGCTAGCATGGAACGTTGAGGTCAGGTTGAAGAATGTGGACCTCACTTTGGGCAATAGGAAGCCATGAGGACAAGTTGAATAATGGAGTGGTACAACTGTGGTCCAAACCTTTAATCTATCATGAGGAGTGATATACCTGGATACCGGATTGTCATCCAATGCCTTTGATGTATCTGTTACGATGATGACAATTTTTCTTTTTCAGTCTTAAAGTACTGACTTGGTGTTTTTAGAATAAACCTACTTTATGCAATGTTTATTCTTTTAGTACATTGTTGAATTCAATTTGGTAAAATTTTGTTTCAAGCATGTAAAAATATTGGTCTGTGTTTTCTTTTCCTGCAATGTATTTGTCTGCTTCACTGTCAGAGTAATGCTCACTGCATGGAATAATGAAGAATATACTCTCTTCTTTTTTCTAGAAGAGCTTGCATACAAGTAATATTTTTTCCTTACATGTTTCATAGTCTTGATGAGTGGTGCTCTCTGAATTTAGATTTTCAGGGCCGGCCAAATAGCTCAGTGGATTAAAGCACCTGCAAGCAGGCACAGGAGTCAGGGATTCGATCCCTGGGCCTGCAGTGCTGGCCCCACCCCCGGGGCATGCTGAGATGGCAATTGAGACTGGGCGTGGTGCATGCGTCCGTAATCCCAGGGCTTTGGAGGCTGTAAATAGGAGAGTCACTATGAGTCCAATCTATTTGTAAGACCCTGTAGATCCTTCCTTAAAATACAAAGAGAGAGAGAGAGAGAATTTAGATATTCTTTGTGGGAATGATTATTTTTAAATACAAATTTGATTTTGAAATAGGTAATAGGCTATTCCATTTAAGATTCCTTCTTGAGTGAACTTGGGTAGCGTGTGTCTTTCAAGGAATTGATCCATTTCATCTTAAGTTGTCAACTTCATTGGCATTAAATTGCTTTCTTAATATTCTTTTATTTCCTGTAGAATGCACACTCATGTCACCTTTTCCATTGTTGATATATTTTGTGTCTTTTCCTTTTTTCTTCATTTGTATTATTGAAGATTTAATAGCTGCATTGAGTTTCTCAAAAAGGAAAATTTGGTGTCATTGATTTTCCCTATTTTGTTTTTCTTTTTTATTTCATTGGTTTCCATCCTGATCTATGTTTTTTTATGGTTTTTTTTGTTTTTTTTTGCATTTGTTTACTTTGGGTTCCCTCTTCTCCCCTGCCCTCCCCTCCCTCTTTTCCTCTCCTCTCTTCCTAGTTCTTAAGGTGGAAGTTACATCATTGACTTGACACAATTTCCTCTCAACATTTTTAAGGGTTTTTTTTTTTTTTTCTTTTTTTTCTTTTTTTGTTGCAAGGTCTCACTACACAGCTCGGACTCGTAGTGATCCTACTGATTTCTGCCTCCATGTTGCTGGAATTACAGGCATGTGCCACCACACTCGGACTCCATCACCAGCTCAGCGCACTCAGGGGTGGGGGCCAGTGTAGCATATGGTGCCAGGGATGAAGCCCTGGCCCCTGCACTTACCTAAGCAAGTGCTTAGTCCACTAAGCTATACCATTGGCCCTAATATTTTTAGTATTATAACATTTCTACTAAGTACTGCTTATTCACATCCTATCAATTTTGAAATGTGTTTGTATTTTCACTCAGTTCAAAGTACCTTCAAACTTCTCTTTGACCCTTGAGTAATTTGGAAGTATTAAATAAGTTCCCAAATATCTTACAGATTTTTCAGTTCCAGTGATTTTCCAAATATCTCATTATTGATTTCTGTTTAAATTTCATATAGTTAAATAATATACTTTGTAAACTCGAATCCATTTAAATTTGTTGAGATTTGTTTTATATTCGGGATATTGACTTTTTTGGTAAATGTTAAGAGTATACTTGAAAAGAAGGCATATTCTGCTACTGTTGACCATTGTGTTTCGTAAATATCATGTTGGCTGATAATCTCTTTGCTTTTCTTCCTTCTACTTCTATCAGGTTTTGAAAGAAGGTATTAAAATACACTACAGTTGTAGATTTGTTGATTTCTTCCTTTAATTTAGTTGTGTTTCATGCATTTTGAAGCTTTGTTATGAGTCTCCAAATAATTTAAGAAACTTAACTATATCCTGATGAATTGATCCTTGTGTCATTATGAAATGACTTTAACCCTGACAATATTTTTTGTTCTGGAGTCTATTTTACCCAATATTAATACACCATTGCAATTTTCTTTTTACTGTTTAGCATAGTATATTTTTTCCTATCCTTTTACTTCTAAAGCTATGCATTTATATTTAGAGTATATCTTTTATAAATACCATGTAGTTTGGACTTACTACTTTAGTAAGTCTGAAATGTCTATCTTTCAACTTGGACATTTATTTATTTATACTTGAAGTGACTTTTAATATATTTGTGATTAAGTCTACCATCTTATTTTTATTCTTGTTACAATTGCTTTATGTTCCATTTTTTATGTCTTTCTTTGATCTAATAGAGAATTATTAATATGGTCATTCATCTCCTTTGTTGATTAAGCAGCTATAACTATTATTTTCATAGTTGCTTTCTGTTTTATGTGTTAAATCTTGAACCTATAACAGACTCTGAAGTAGTATAAAAACCTTACAGGGCCGGCCAGATAGCTCAGTGGACTAAAGCACCTGCTTAGGCAGACGAAGGGACTGGGGTTCAAACCCCAGCATACAGAGCTGGCCCCACCCCTGGTGGGGCACACTGAGACAGTGACTGAGACTGGGCATTGTGGTGCGCTTGTAATCCTAGTGCTTGGGAGGCTGAAAACAGGAGGATCACTACAAATCCAATCTGTGTAGTGAGACCC